TATATATACTTGTTATATACTTGTTATATATACTTGTTATAATATCTAGCAAATGAGAATGGATTAAAATGGATTGAAATTTTTTTCTATCTAAACGCATATTTTAAATAGCGAATACTTTTTTTTGAATATAATTGGATTCAATTGAATTCAATTAGATTCTATTGGATGCAATTGAATTGAAAAACTGCATTTCCTATTCAAAATTTTGAATTGAACAGTATTCACAATTGTGTGTTTTTGCACAGAAAAAGCTAATATTATTTTTAGATTGAAAAGCATAGAGATATGCTTCATGCAATTCCTATAAATGAATAAAAATTCAGAATTAAAAAGCATTCATTTTAACATTCAAATCAATATTTTTGAAAATCTATTTCAATTTATTTCAATTTATTCTCGTTTGGGGTATATTTTGATTGCTGACTATTTTTAAATTGTGACGTATTTACTTCTAAATCTGTCATGCATATAACATTTAATAAATATTTTTTCTTCAATCAATCTATTATATCTTATTAAACATATGTACAATCTTCGTAAATTATTACATTAAGATGATAACACTGGAGGTGAAATTTGATTTGAAAGCTTAATTTTTTTGAAAGTCGGTCCATAATCATAATCTTCCTCTGATTCTGTTGAACTAATATTGATAATTTCACTGTGTTTATATTCGACAGGTAATTCTAATATTTCATCGTCTTCACAAGAGCATACATTTATATCTGATTCTATATCACTCTTCTGAATCCTTGAACGAGATATATCAACATTCAAATAATCATCAATATCACTGACATCATCAGAGACATTATCAACATAATGATGGAAATCTGATAAACATAATGACGTCTCGTTGCTCGATAATTCTAAATTAATGCTACAGTTTGAAGAAATACTGTTTTCATTGACGTTCATTATCTCCTTGAATATTTCTGATTCTGAAATTTTACATGCAGCAATATATGCACATAACTGTCTTAATCATAATATCTTAATCATTTATTATAAACAAACCTGTACTAGTTATTTTAGAGATTAATGAATTCGTATTAGTATCCACACTTGTTAAATTTAGTGAATCACAGTCTGATATTTGAATGTTTAATTTTCCAAATGAAGCAACAAGTTGAGAACGGAATTTTATGTATGATTCTACTTTATAAAAGCATATTTTACACAAAATTGCATTATCTATCTCTGATATCTAAAAAAGAGCAATATAATATAGATGTATTTACATTAAATTGTCGTATGTATAAACATATATATATAATAAACTAAATATAAATTATTATAAGATATTCACTGTATGACCAGTAATTAATTCGATAGCATCTCTCAGTGTCATATATCCATCAGGTTTCTCATGTGTGTCTTTTTCTTGTAAGTTAAGTAACAATTTGTCATCAAACACATTTCGGTGATTATCATCAGACAACTGTTTACAGGAAATACAATAGATATCCGACTGTAACAAAAACCAATTAAACACCTACATAATTAATCTGTATTTTCTAAATTTTCTTTAGGTATTATATGTCATTTATTAAAAACAATTATTATTTATTCCATGTGAATGATCCTCAATATATTAAAATTAAAAATTTATATTCACCATTTTTCCAAAAGTTATATATTGAATCAATGGGCGTCGTCCTCAAAGTTACAACGTAAATATCGACAGATTATCAATAAGACATAAGAATATATATATGAGAATATATATTAATAATTTTCTCTTAAAATGTCAATTTTAAATGAAATATGTCAATCGTTCAAGAGAGAAAGAAAGAGATGCATCGATACTGGTAGCTGAAAAAGAACTGTGTACAATTACAATCACTGATGAAAAAGTCGCACGAGAAAAGGCAAGAAAAACTTCACTCGTTCAATTACATTTTTCTACGTTTCGTATCTTTCCTTTTATTTTAGAAACTAGAAAATAGATCTCCATATCAAACTGTTTCAAGCGTAAACAGCGCATTTAGTTTACGATTACTCCTACTCTATATTTGATCTAAACACGAAGGTCGCGACGGTGTAAACAGTTTATTTATTGTGTTTAGATTGTCTTTAAGTTAAATATAGGATACAGATCGCCAACTAAACGCATGCTGTACCACTGCGAAGTGCGAAGAACCCCCGTTGTGAATGATCACAAGCAGAGGGAGCAGAGTGATGGACACACATTAAAGAGCATCGACGAGTGTTGCTGATCGAGCCAACCTAACCTGACACGATCAGCAGGCAGACAGACAGTGACAGACGTGAAGCAAGCGCGTAACTTTTCTCGGAGTTCTCGGCAAAGACGAGCGTCGCAAATGACTCGATCGTAGCGTCGACGCGAATTATGGCGAGCCGTAAGAGGACCGACGGTCCAGATCGTCGGTTGTCGTTGTCTCAACGCCACTTGTGGTCCTCGTCGTCTGACGAAGAGGAGGAGAAGACGACCTCCTCCTGGACGCCCTGCGTAGCGGAGTGTAAGAACTCCTCATCGCTGTCGGGAAACGAAATGGTCTTTCTGCCATTTTCGTCGTCCGATGAGGAGAAAATGGTATCCTCTTCTCGTTGCCAGGATATCCAATCAATGAATAACCCATCGCCGACATCGGACCGTTTCAGCAGGAGTCACGTCGACTCCATCGAGCAGTCGACAGGTTAGAATTGTCATTACTATTTATTATATCACGCGGACGCTTAGACGCGGGAGTCTAAGTTGTTTTTTCTTTTTCTCGTCTGACTGTGGAAGCTAAAAATGATTTTTCACAGGTCAAGATGCATCGTCGCGTCGCGACAACAATCCTTTTAGTTTTAAGGCCTTCTTAAAGAATGGTATGCAGCAAACCAACTATCACAACACCGGGACAAGGCCAAAGGTCTATTCATCCTCTACATCGAGTCCTGGTAACGTCCTTGACAAAGATAATGTTGGCAGCGTGTATTCTGGTCGAAATCCAACGGAACTGCCAGACTTTGTACAGGATCACCTGGTCATTGAACAGTGTTACCTGAATCATGAGAATAGTCAACCAATACTACCTGATGTGGATAATTTGCCGGATTTTGCATTGAACAGTATGGAGCAAAGGCAGTCTCGATTACGAAACGAGACCAAAAAGAACGACTCTGACATCTTGTGCGATGATCTACGATCGTTTGATCTCACTGATACGTTGCACAAAGGCTTACCACACAGAGATCATTCTGCATCAAATACAAAAAATCAAATGCATTCAAATCACTTAGACCTACCTATATTCGAGGATAGACTCAACGAAACTGCACCTATCTTTCCTCGCCCTGAACACAGAGGTATCTTGCTGACATGTTTCAAATTATACAATTATGTTCCTGCTAAGTTTGTGAAGATAAGAGGCATTTTCTTTACAGGATTTCCATTCGATTTGCCATTACCCTTTCCTGATTCCAATCCTAGTATAAATACAACCGCACGAGGCGATCTTCCATCAGGAGGTGAAGCGAATGTTCACAAATCTCTACCAGACTTTTTAAGTGATGGCCCTATACATAGATCTTCAGATTCAGAACCTACAGTGAATATGACAGAATCCACAGAAAGAAGGGTAAGATCGCTGTATAATGCAGCAATCTAATAAATAAGTTATAGAAGAAGTGGAGAGAATCTGAGGATCTTATATATTATTACAGCTTTTGCTCGAGAATGAAAGATTACGTCAACAATTAGAAGCATCTCGAAGGCAACTTAGTGAAAAAATGGAAAGGTAATTATACCTTGCTGGAATAAATTTCAATTTACATCGATCCGTTAATTGCAGAATTCGTTCATTGGAAGCAGAATTGTTATCTAAAAAGGAAGTGGAACATGAAGAAACTGTGCACTTGGAAAAAGCGATGGAACAAGTCGAAGATAATTTAAAACGAAGTACAGTAAGTAATAAAGATAAGGATTTGCAAAGATAAAGATTTCAAGTTGCAAATTGGAATTCTTATATTATATACATATTGATTATATTATGTGCCATTGGGAAACGACAGCATTCTATTTGTATTTCGTAGAAGCGAGCAGTTAATGCTGAAAGTACTGTCACATCATTGAAGAAAGAGATTAAGGTTTTAACAGTTAGTATTGTTTATGCTTGATCAAATATAATGGAACAGAATATAACACGTTTTGATATATCGGCTTGCAAATCTGTTAATTTAGACAGAGATATCTCTACTACGATTGGAGAATAATGAACTTCGAGCTGGTATCTCAGCAGCTGGACAAAGTGAATCGAATGCTAGTGCTGTTAATATGAATCGTACAATTAGAAGGCTTGCGCGAGATTTATTCGCAGCTGCATCGTCGGCTGAAGTATCCCTCAGGTATCCTTAATTATTTGATTACTATCAATTACAAAAAAAAATATATTTGAAACATTTTATAATTAATTTAGAATACTGTCTATTTTAATAAAGAGATGCGTAGTTTTTTCAAATCTAAACAATATTTCGTGTATTTCTTTACAGACAATTAATGTCTGGTGTGGATAATCTAAGAGTGCTCGCATCAACCCTCGAAAATGTGGACAGGATAGAAGACTGGACCAAAGACTTTTTACCTGATTCCGACGAGGATAATGCCACCGGTCCCGCAGTATAATAGAATTTTCTCTCTTTCTCTCTTTCTCTATATATACATATTATATATATATTCGTATTTTCACACTATTCCCCTTTTTCACTTCACCATATATCCCATCAATTTCACTGCGCATCTATTGATGATAAATGATCCATACATTGATCGATTCAACATGTTAATGCATTGCTATGCAATGTATTGATATTTTGAACGCAATGAGAATTTATTATTCAATCATTTCTTGTTATCTATATTCGTTGCAGAATTTTTAATTTCCATCCCTCCTGCTGCCGCCCAGACTAACATCCTAACATAAGATCGCTTCGATTCGAACGTATAAATATATATTATTTATAAAATATTCATGATATTTTTATATTTGTGACAATTTGTAAAATTTATTTAATCGAATCTATGACGATGCAAAGAAGCAGATACATTTCCAACGACGATATCATGACCTTCTTTGATTGAAGAGGAACATATTTTCTTAGTTGTATATTGTATGTGTGAACAAAAAATGCAAATTTAAAAAATTAATCGGAATCTTACATGATATCGCAAAGCTGATAGACATTAAAAATATTCTCCTGTTTTCATCACGCAGCATAGCACGTGATATAAAGCTAGAATATATTTTTTATATATACAAGAGATATCGAGATTCTCTCCTACCGCGTATACGATATGTACACATGAGGCTTTAAATAGACATATATAACAATTATATAACAATTATACATTTAGTCCGATTCCAGTCCATAAATTTACTAATAAGTTCAGATCACAATGTTTGTATATAATGTCGTATATATTTATTTTCGATCGTATGTAGATACATACATGTGAAGTACACTCGAATTGTGTACGATATATGCGTAATACTTTGGTATTGAAAGAAATCAGATATATACATTTCATATACATACACACACACACACACATATATACATATACATACACATGTACATACACATACCATACATATACAAATGTGCAACTACAGATGGATAACATTTATGATATTCGATTTGTCAACTTTTTTTATTTGGTACATTTGGAATAAAATAAATTTCAAATGAAAAAATTGGGAGATGAAGTATAGAAGTTAGAAAATTTCAAAGATACTTATCCTTCGACAAATCGTATTACGAATTTGAAATTAATACTTTTTTAACATTGTAGCATTAAATGATAAAAATGAGTATTTCAAAAAATACAATAAAAATATGAAGAACTAAGAAACTTATTGAACTTGCAGTGAAAAAAGAACATATCTTATTCAAGTCCCTCGAAAATACTAAGTAAATCGGTCTGTGTTTCGGTATGACTCGTTTGTGTATTTAACCAGGATCTACAGGCTCCAGTGGGAATGTTGCAATCGGTTCCGCAAATTAGGGATTTTGTTTGAGTTTCGGTAGAAACTGTAGTGTCGTCGTGCGACCAAGCAGTCTGAGTCTGTATATTGGATAGCCCTAAATCGGAAGACAGCATTTTATCGCATGTTTGAGTGTACGTGTTGCTGTATAGCAGTTGCTCCATGTTGTCTAGATTATCTGTAGTTTGCGTTTCAATGTTTGAACTTAAAGCAAACGGTCTCGACCCGAAAGATTCGGAATAAAAATATGAAGGGGAAAAGGCTTGTTCGGTTTGCGTTTCTATACTGCTAAATCTGTCTTCGAATGTCTTAGTGGTTAGCATAAGATCTGCCTGGGACATCCCATCGGTCGAAGCGAAAGAATATCCTTCAACTGCTGACGTGTCCTCGACATAAGGCAAAGTCATTAAAGCCACTGTACTCTTCGGTACGCATTGTATTAAAGGATTATGATTGTAGAATGTATCAAATTCCGTCTGAGTCACGCTATCATTAAATGCCTCGAATATATCTTTTTCTGGTATCGTTTGCGTGCCTGAAGTATTCTTTTCCTCCCAGAAATCCTGCAAGCCCACGTCATGACGAAGCGGCAGCGGACTAGCTGGAAATAAATTGGTCGATGCGAAATTATTACCGAGATTAAGATCCTCTTTTAGCAATGTCTGTTCTGATTGTTTCGATAATGCGCGACACTTTCCACCACGTTTGTTTATCTTTGGCAATTCTCTGTTTGCTTGTGGTGTTTGTGTTTCTATTGATTTTCCGGAGATTTTCTCTTTAGAAAAATGATTGGTTTGTGTTTGCTGAGATATACGACGTTTCGTATTGTGTACATTGTTATTGTTGAATTTTAATGGGCTTGGTCTCTTGCTTCTTTTATAATCGTCTGTTTGTACTCCGACATCGGATGTATTTTTTATCGTATTAATATTTTCGCTATTCTTTCCAGATTTATCTGGATTGGGTAGTATCGAGACAGGTTTACCTATAATTTTCCTTGGTAAGATAATTTGCGTTGTCTTGGAGTTGGTATGTCTGCAAAGATATTATAAATATATCAGTAAATTTTCTATTCAATTACAATTATGATAATCATGCCTAGTGATGGGTATTCAATCATATCTCT